GTAACCCTAATTTTGGCCCACCCTGTATATATATGCGCTTTTAAACTTTTACAAATAGGAAAGATGACTTGTGTGTATCATCCTTATTTCGTGTACTAGTTACACATGGTTAAGGCAGGAGGTGTCCCACTTAAGTATTTGTACACACTTCTCACAGACGATGTTGATAGAGATCTATTTTCTATCATCTAGTGGCATCACTATGTTTAAGTTTAGAAATGCTCAGATGTTAAATTCTCCCTACTTACATCTTAGACAACCAATGACGTAGATTGCGACTGCAATCTGTTTCTATATGTATAGTCTCGTATTCTTTCAGTCTATAACATAATTTTCATCGAGAATTCCTGCAAAGCCTTTTCTAGAAATTCTCTAGAAAAACGCTGTCTGACGTTTTGTGTACTCGTCAATTATCTTTGACTTGTTGTTCTTGAAAATAAAGGTTGACTCCTACGTGTTGAACATTGTGTTCACTCTCTTTTGTGTAACGCAGTGGAGTCAAATTTACAGTTCCAATCCTATAAATCTCTTCTTGCAAAATCCTTTAGTTACTAACAGGGCTATTCTTACCTTTAGGAAATCGGTGAACCTAAGAATATCACACGAGTAAGATATTAAAGAGAGATTTAAGTGCTGAGACTAAGATAGTCAAAATGACATTTTGCACATGACGCTTCAACAAGAGTAAGAGGATCTAAGCAATCTATGACTACTGCTGTACTGCTCTTGAGGACTAACAGAGTCTAGGTTAGATCTAACCATTGACCTTGAGAGCCATAGTGGTAAACTTGAATCAAAAGGTTTTGTGGTTAACATAGCTTGCACAGACAGACATAGGTCGAATTCTTGGATGAAATCAAAGCCGCGAGAACTCTGATGGACCTTGCAGTGTATCAAGTCTTTGAGTGAAACCACCACTATGGCAAATGGTGATCGACTAGATGTGACTGGGGAGACATGAGTGCATGTTGAGGAAGGAGTCATAGTACCTTAAATGCACAATTAATGTTCCATAATGTCTAGCACATTATAGCTATCTGCTATGATGGTAGAACTTACGTATGAAATACACTGTTTACGGCCCAGAAAGCAGGCCAAACTTGCTTGAACATTTGTCTGAATGAGTGTTGACATTGTCCAACAAATGGAGGATAATACTCAATACAACTAAAATGCAAGCAATTATACTTTTCCGTAGATTAAACAAAGACTTAAACGTGTCAAATTAACTAAACTGAGCCTCTACAATACCCCATCTTATTCTCTAAATCTGCTAAATTCCTAGGAATAACCATCAACCCTAAACTAACTTGGCACACGCATTTCAAGGAAATCAGCAAGAAAATTAAAACTAGAATAGCTTACCTCCACAAAATAAGTCACCACGCTCACGGATGTAGACCACAGATAATAATGTTTTATCATACCTTTATTATACTATGGCTCTATGATAATATACGAATAACAACCAACGTTTGATACTCCAAAAATTACAAAATAGTGTAATACGTCTTGCCCACCGCCTCCCTCACTGCACACTAGCATGCTATGTTGAAAACACACCTCACTACACACATCACAAGAACGCATTTCTAAACTTGCCACCAAGTATTACAAAAAAGCCGCCCACCGGAACTCACTTACAGCCGAATTTCATAAAATTGCCGCCACCCCCAAACCATGGTGCAAATATCTATCCCCATACAACATGATACACAACACCACTAACACACCACCATGATCTATAAAACTATTAAGAGTATGCTATATTCTATGTATAACCATTTAAATTTTCAATCTCTTTTCAGATCTTAATCCCTTCAATAGCTCTTCAGTCGGGCACTAGCCGGGCTTTTCTTTCGGCCTCGACTAGTGAAAGTGGGTTTTCTCGGGGTACTCCCGTTTCCCCCCACATTAAATTCTTAGGCATTGGAACTATAGATCCCAGCCATGGCACTTGGATCCACTGATTCCCGCCAGGCCCTGTAAAGGCCCGTCTGCTTCAGTTTTTTTCGATAAATTGTTAAAAATGGCTGTCGACTTGCTCCTCCTACAAGATCAACCAGCCTCTGATACGCCTTGGACTTGCCTTCACTTCCGCCCACTTGCCTCATCATCATTTGTATATATATATATATTATTTTTTATTATTATTATTTTATTTTATTATTATTATTAGTTTCTCTTAT